AGGAGGGGAAAAGACTGCTTGCCCAAGCACGGGTGACACTTTCTACTTAGATAAGCGGGTTTTTAATGATCTCCTCTCGCAGGAGGCAAACGATGTTGCTTGAATGCGTTATTCCAACTTCATATCATAACGTGAAGCGCTCTCTGCTCATGCCAGCGCATTGCTCCCATTGTTTTCACTGCTGTTAAGTTAATAACGCCAGCAATAATTAAAGATGGATACCAGCCAAGGTCAAACGGCACTGTTGAATATGAATGGTGCTTTAAGAGCAGGAAGTGACCTCATAACGCCCGGGGCGTTTGTGTAATTGGGGTTTGGCTTGAACTGCAGGTCTCTAGAAATCTCTCCAAAAGGCCAAACTTCAGCCGCTGCTTTAAAAAGCCAGTGCTTTTGCTGTATTTGATCTTCAGTGTCTTTCTGCCCAGCGTCAGCATGTCAAGCCCTGTTTGACCCTGAGGTCAGTGCACAGAGAGATCAATGATTTACGCATTACTGTGAACTGATAATGGACATGATGACTCTAACCGGATCTGCTCAATAACTCAATAACTGCTTTTATTCAGTGTAATAAATGAATGACTTTTCCTTTCAGTACATTGTCTGGCTTTTGAAATACAACCATGTTTTATTTTTCCGAAACTGCAATTATCTGATTTTGTAAATATCTCATGTGAAATGCTGATACTTAAAAACAACATAAAATCTAAATGGACATCCTTAGTTCATTTCTAGGATGAATGATTCACCAGTGCATGTTATTCTAATGAAAAATATGTTTGTCTTCATAATCATTCATCAAAATGTATTTGTCTCTGCTTCTGGATATTTTTCTCTGCTTTTAGATATCTATATATCTATATAGTCATATATATATATATATATATATATATTTATACAACAGTTCGTTCTGGTTCTCAAATCTGATTGGTTGAGAACCGTGAGATATTGTAATGGTATCGCTACAGGAGCGCTCCGCTTGTTCTAGCCGGGTCTATGTTTTTTTTTTATTATTATTCACTGAGCTAATCGTAGAGTACGTTAGTTAATATAAGAAGAAACATCT